CTGAATTGAAAGTTGTTTATCAAAACCATGAGATGTATATATCTGTTTGACCATCTATCAGTAGTTTTTCAGTATATACTATGAAGAGGAAAGAAAATGTGTTTAGTTCTTAAAGTATTTCGGGATAAAATAATCTTAACTGTCATTTGGAAAGTTGAGGGCTAAACTTTATTTAGATTTTGAGCGCAAATATAGGCCATCTTCTGAATCTGTACAAGGTGGAAATGCTGTAGAGTTTTCATTCTTTTTGGTTAGATATGCACTTTGCTTTATTAACAGCTATGGTGCTTATTCTAACTTGAATTAAGCTGTGGTATTTTTGCTTATGTTAAATAGTCTTCTCACTATCTTTTCCGTTTGCCAGCTTAAAAAAAATACAGTACGTGCACAATCTGAATGCTAAACTTTGATCAGTTTACAAATAAGTTCAAAATCACACATTTTTTTTTATCAGTTCTAAAATCCTTGGCTATGATCTGAAATATTTCAAAGCTCTTTTTAGTTGTAATTGCTTGCACCTTTATTTTTTTATCAGTTCTAAAATCCTTGGCTACTATCTGGAATATTTCAAACCTCTCCTTAGTTGTAATTGCTTATTCTACAAGGTTTTACAAACCTTATAATTTCACTTCTGTTATCCCCTCTACATGCTGCAGCTGCGAAAAGTGAATGTGGAGGAGCTGACTTTTACATGCTTGAATCTTGTCCTCCTGATCATGAACCTGTTGTATGAGGCCACAAATTTTATGGTTGCACGTACAAGCCCCATGCTGAAACAGTGCATGCTGAGAGGAATTCTAGTTTTGTGAAATTTGGTGCTCAGCTCAACTTTTAGTTAGCAGCCAAGGTAAACTGACACAATTCCTTTTTCTGGCAAGAGGGAAAAAGAAAAGATGCAACCGCTCCGAGTTTATTGTGTTTTGTCTCCTTGGAACTGAGCATTTCAATTTGCCTTTCATCCATTAAAAAATGTTCACTCATGAACCATGGCTTGAAGTTTGATAGGAGGAGGAAATGTTTAGGTTCGTAGACAGGGAAAGGTTCGTAGAAAAAATGTTCACTCATGAACCATGGCGTGAAATAAACGGGCAGTTGTATAAGCGCATAATGAAGGAAGATTGTCTGCCATATTAAAGACAGGGACCATGTATTGTCTTGCAATAATCATGCGCTTTTCGATCCTTTGGGGCCGTACGCTTTTGGTATTCCCGGATAATTGCATGTAGGGAAGTGCAGACTCAGCATGGGACCTGTATTTCCATCATGTAGCTGGTAAAAAGTGAAAATTTAGCACTGCCGTGAAGAATGTTTAAGCTTCGTAATTGGTGAGTGATTGGATCAGTAATTAAGCATTTGAGATGCCTAGCTCAATTTACGCATCAGCATACAGTTGTAAGTACCTTTCCCAGAGTTAAAAATTGCAAATAATAAAATTCAAAAGGAAAATTGTAGGTGGGCTTTTGAGGGCAAGTCACTTGTTCAGTTGTTTCAGAGTAACTCTTGCCGCTTTGTTTACCAAGTTGTTTCATAAAATGTTCAGTTCTTGTGTGTGTAAATTTGGTCAGGCAGATTGAATCTATGTATTATTAGTCTATACAGGATCAGCTTTACGACTTTCAATCAATGAAGAAGGGGGAAGAACTTGAAAAAAAAAAAAGGTTAATTACATTTTCCTCCTCTAAGGTTTGACCATATTATCAATCAATCCCTGTAATTTGTTCAAATAACTGTCGCACCCTTTGAATGATCAAACATTTAACAAAAACCCCTTTAATGCCGAAATGCCCTTTTTGAGACCATATTGCATTAAAAAAGGAACATATTTTTATTTATTAACCTTCAAGTAATCCAAAAAAATCATCAAAAAGTTTTTGCTTATTATTTTATAAAAATCATATCTTTGTTTTCATAAATAGTTTTGAATCAATAATTATCTTAAATCTTAAAAATGAATATTAAAAATTAGATAAATTGAAAGAAAAATAAAAAAGAAGTGATTATTTTAAATCCTCAAGTATGGTTCGAATTTGTGGTTCAAGGCATGTTTTCCTCAATTTGAACCATACTTCAGGAATTAAAATAATTTCTTCTTTTTTTATTTTTCTTTCAATTTATCTAATTTTAATATTCATTTTTAAGATTTAAAATAATTATTGATTCAAAACTATTTATGGAAGCAAAGATATGGTTTTTATAAAATAATAAGCAAAAATTTTTTCCTATTTTTTTGGATTGCTTCATGGTTAATAAAATAAAAATATGTTCTTTTTTTAATGTAACATGGCCTCAATAAGGGCATTTTCGGCATTAAGGGAGTTTTTGTTAAATGTTTGATCATTCAAAGGGTGAGACCATTATTTAGACAAATTATAGGGATTGATTGGTAATATGATCAAACCTCAGGAGAGGTAAATGTAATTAACCAAAAAAAAATGTGGGTCTAGTAAACGAGTGGATGTTGGGCCCAAAGTGAATTTATCCTCTATAAGAGGGGCATTGTGATCTTCCTTGATGTTCAATTGTAGATTGACGCACTCCATCTTTTCTTCTTTAGAATTTCAATTATAAAGTGCAGAATTGCTCTATTATATTTATATACAGTGCCTAGAGGAAGAACTTTGCGGGTGAAAAGTATCTGAAGATGAACAGTGCTTCAGTCAATGGAAGTTCTTGTAAGAAAAGATGTCGATGTAAAGTTGTAGGAGAGTATCTCAAAGAGCAAAGAAGTAGGCTTATCATAATGGGAAGATGTATTGTGTTGCTTCTCTTCTGGCAGGATTACTTGGAGTGGCTGCTTGCAACTCCGCTCCTCCATTTCCGGTGCTATTTTGAATTTTTCTTGATTTTTATTCATCTGACAATCCAACAAGAATTGATTTATTTATTTTTTTTAATGTTCACAATTCTTTTCGACTCACGATCCTTTCAGTACCTGATGCTCATTATTAGTGAAGTAATAGTTAATCTCATTATGCCATCAATTCTTGTTTCATCTGCAGAAGATGAATGCCTGATTCTCCCCCCCTTCCCTCGTAAATCGAGTTTGTTCTATTAAACCTTACTTGTTTATGGAACAAATTAATTTTGGAATGGTTTCTAAGATTGAAAATGGAAACAATGAACTAGAATATTAAAATACGCTAAAAACACTTAATCCATACCGAGCCAAAGTAATATTTCAGCACATTCCTGTTTCTGCTGTTCTTGCCTGTTGGAAGGACGTAGTTGCAAACTGGAGAAGGATACCTTTAACTAGGCAAAATTGGGATTTCGGTGGATGTGTTCCTTGCTTGCTGATGATTTTGTTGGGAACATATTGTGTAACAACACTAATGCTAGCTGCTGATGTAATTGGAACGAGTACATTCCTTTGAATGCACCGTCGTTGCTGATCAATGAAATTCTCAATGTAAAGGAATCTTAAATTAGCAGTGAATGGCTTTCAGAATAAAACACAAACATTTTTTGTGTTATTTGAGAGATCCAAAATGAAATGACTCAAAAAATTTACTCGCTCATCAGTCTTTAGTTGCATGCTATTAATTTTATTTTGCTTTTAATAGCCTATTTGAACAATATGAACAGCTGATTTAAATCTCAAGCACAAAAAATCTTGACGGGTTTACTTCTCTAGTCTTTAATTCTATTCAGTTCAATCGTGCTAGCCATCCTAGTGTCATTTTATGGGCCGTATATGTTGCAATTTTACAAACACAAGTACATTAGACACTGCTCCGCGTGAATGGTCCAGCGGTAGCACCTCCCATAGGTGACTAATAGGTCTCGAGTTTGAGTCTTTGCTCCGCTGGGTTCTTTCGCGCACTTAATGTATTTGGATCGATTGGGCGCCGAACCCAGGCCGCAAGAATTAATCGGGTCCCGTAAGGATTGATCCATTAATCGGGTCCCGTAAGAATTGATCCGGATACCCCTGTATCGACAAAAAAAAAAAAAAAAAATACATTAGACACTGGGCTAACAGCCTGTTAGGCTGTTGAGAGTACATTAGACACTGGGCTAACAGCCTGTTAGGCTGTTGGTCTAAAGCCTTGGTGGGGAAAGCTTAAGGGTTCAACCTTGCTTACCACCATATACTTGTCACTTATTGTAACTAGAGCTGTAAACGAATCGAATCGAATCGAGTATCTCATGTTTGAGCTCTGTTCCATTCGTTAAGCAAAATCGAATCGAATATACCTGTCACTTAATTGTAACTAGAGTTGTAAACGAATCGAATCAAATCGAGTATCTTATGTTTGAGCTCTGTTTCGTGTTCGTTCGTTAATTTCGAATTCCAAACCTGTATTCCGTGTTCGTTCGCTAAGCAAAATTCATGTTTGAATTCGAGTTTGTGTTCGACTCGTTGTAACATAAAACGAGCCATTCGCAAACATGCTCGAAATACTCGAATCCAAATATTTTAAGCCTTGAATATGCCATACAAATCATTAATCATTCTAAAAAATAATTAAAGTACTAAGTGACTAAATTCTATTATTCATTAATTATATAACTAACATTAACATAAAAATAACAAATAAAACCCTCCAAATATAAAAGTCTAGCCATAAAATTAACTCTAAAATTTGTCAAATAATAATTATGTCCATTTCGCAAACGTTCGTTAAAACTCGCGAACATGCTAGTGTTTGTTCAATTATTAATCGAACAAAAAAATTCATTTTGAACTTGACTCGTTTAAGGTTTTGAACAAGTCTTTCACGAACACAAATTCTATTTATTTTCATTTTTTTGTTCTTATTTTAGAGGCTTGCCATAAAGCCAAACATTCTAATCATGTGATAAAGTAAGATAAAGCCAAACATTCTAAACATTTTAAGTAAGATAAAGTACACAGTAAATTATTTGTAAAAAAAAAAATGTACATAGTAAGTATGCGTGTCCATTCTCCAAAAGAGTTAGTAATTTTTTTCCGAAAGTTAATTTAGTTAGTTAATATTTCTTTTTTTACCATTTTTATGAGGCTTTCCGTAGCCCGAGCCCAGGAGCCCTAAAACCTCTCACACCCGACCTCTATCGCTGCAATCCAAGGCCATCGCTCGGCCCCCGACCACATCCACCGCCGTGGCTCTTCTCCTTCCGGCCGACGCGATTTTAACATTGACAGGAGAACTTAAAGAAGCTCATTCAGCTCTCTGCCTTCCATCAAGACCATGCAGTTCGCTATCTGAGGTAACTTTTCTTTGCCTTTAAAATTTAATTTTTTACTTATTTTTTTACTGTTCGTACATATTTGTATATATATCTGCATTTTTTCTCACATAGTCGGGACGTTATTTTTAGGTATTATATTGGATATTTGGATTGTTATTGTGGTCTATTTCGGTTTTTTTCTTTGGTTATTGGTGCTACTTTAGGAGTGGGATTGAGATTGTCAAAGTATCTAGCTTTTTAATTTTTAAAGGTTCGATTTTTATGCCTTAAAAATTGCTAGTAAATCTATAAAAACAATGGAGTAAAATTGGTATAAGGATTAAAAGTTCACATTGCAAGGAGGAGAAATGTACACAAGCTTAGTTTTGAAATAGTACTCCTTTTGGTTGAGCATAGAATATCTTTCCGATGCAGTGATTTTATCTTCCCAATCAAGGTTAAGAACAGATCTTTTCTGGACAATGTATATTCATGGATTTGATGAAGTAGATTTTTGGACATGTAGGCTTTATTGTCTAGGTTCTGAATATGATAACTTGTGACTTGTTCTTTGTCCAATAGCATATGCTGTAAAATGCAAAGACCAACTTTTTCCTCTAAGTTTATCCTGGTTCTTTGTAGACCAGGACCAGACGGAGATCAATCACATTGCAATGGTCACCCCATACTGGTTGATAATTCACATTGTAATTGTTGTTGTCATCAACAAATAGGACCACAGTTTCAAATTGAAGATTTGCAGGCGTAGAAATAGTCATCTAAGAACAGCATTTTGAAATTATTGGGAAAATGAACTTCATATTCTAAAATTTTACTATACTATTAACTGCAAAGACATCCTTTTTCGTCCTGGTTTCCCTTGTTTCTGTTGGTGTACTTCTTCTTGTCTTTTATTATTGCTTTTAGTCTGTGTGATTTTACTCTAAACAGCCTGTTTATGGGTGTGTGGTTGCAAAAGTATTACATACAGCTAAAGGATTCGTTGAGTTGACGCCAGGAAATTGTGAAATATTGGCTTTAATTCAGTTGAGTTGGGTTGAATTTTAGTATTTAATTACTGTAGAACTTCTATCTTGATATCCTTCACATTTGATGATGTACACATACTGGTGGTTTTTTCTCTTTGATGTCAGTTTTTTTGGTTAAATTTGGTTGATTGTTCCCCAGAAAACTTCAACTTTTACAGTGTTGAAATGTGTGCAATTGGGGTTAATTTCTTTCTATTTGGTTCAACTTGTACGGTTTCAAGAGCTTTTTTATGTTGACTAATTTTCTTTGTGGAACTTGTTATCAATGTCGTTTACTTGAGCAGAAAGGTGTTTAATGGGGATTTTGGATTCATGGGAATGTAGACAGGAAACACTTTTGTCGACATTATGGCTATGTGAATTTAGACCTTTCTAAGCCCCAGCACTGAGGGAACGTTGTTCTGGACTCTACTCGACATGGCTTGTTCTGTATTATCTGGGTGTTTCGTAGGAGAAAAAAAAAGAAGAAACTTGTTTTTGTTTTGTCTATGCAATAGTTGGTTGCTTCAATTGGATCATATGGATGTTTCCTCTTCCCCTTATCAATCTTCATTTTATTTGTATTGTTTTTAGTTATGTGCCTTTTTATTTAGCTTTTTGGATCTCTCTAACTGATGGCTATCTTCTCGTGAAGAAATGTTATTGGTGGATAAGTGCCATATAAACTCTGAACACAAGATGGTCTCGGATACTCTGCAAATTAATCATCATCTAACAAATGGAGAAGCTGAGAACAATCTTCACAACAAAGCGAAAAGGCTCTATGTCAACCCCTGAATGGAAGTTTAGGAGAGGTTAGTTCTTTGGGATTTGGTGCTAATCGTACCCATACAGATGAAGAATCTGTGGACATCTCGGAAGTCACTACAAGAGATTCAGCAGCTACTTCCAATTCCAACTCCCATCTAGATGTAATACCTGTATGTGAAACAGTGGGACTCTACCTTCACAAGTTCTCTTCAAAGTCGATTTATGTTCTCGTTGCTTGCTTAATCAACTCATCTGGTTTTTCTGATAATTTTTTCTTTATGTGATCTACTGCAGAAAACTGGAAAAAGGCAGAATGATATGACTTTGGAAGACATTTATAATAAAGAGTATAATTTTGACGATGATGATGATGATAGTGACTGGGATCCGTTGGAGAAGAACATCGAAGTTTTAAAATGGTTTTGTGTCAACTGTACAATGGTTAACTTTGATGATGTCGTACACTGTGATGTATGCTTCAGCTAACATTGTTAAACATGTTTTCATCCTTATTCCCATTTCTATTTCTTTGAGAAATGTATATGTGTTAATGTTTTCTCAAGTTGGGGTTCAAAGTAGCTTCTGCTTTTGATTCACGTGGCATTTTCTGTGCAGGTATGTGGAGAACATAGAGAATCTGGAATTCTTAGGCATGGGTTTCATGCCTCTCCGTTTTTGCCTGAGCAAAGTCTTGATCCAAACGGATCAGAATTAATTGAAAGTTCCAAAGGTTATTCTCTGGATCTTGTGCTTGATGTTTATTTCTATCCTTAACCTCCTGAGTAGTTTAGGATTTTCTATTACCTTGTCTTGATAATTTGTGTTCTTGTGAGTCAAATATGGGTTTGACCTTGTTTTTGTTATCTCACTACATATACTAATACTTGCAATAGCATTCCTACTTTGTAATAGGATTTGATGATTGTCTTGTTTTAGCATAAGAGTTACATTAATTTCACAAATTTCTTGTCAATATAGGATCATGTTCACAGAATGTTGCTCCAAACAACTCCACTGAGTAGGATTTGATGAGAGGATGCTGCTGCATGCAGAAGTACAGTTCATTTACCTTGCAATCATTTTGATTTTATGCTTTTTTTTTAATTTGAAAAATAACTTTATGCCTTTTCATTCCTTTTCCTCTTACCTTGTATCTTCAAGAACTTGTTTATTCTCCAGTCTAAGGATCATGTCAGTGGATGTGACGTAAAGTTTCTCTCCCAACTGTATGCTCTTTTTGCGGTGTCTGACATATATGTTTGTTTCTTTCTTTCTTTATTTGAAAGGTTGAAATGAAGTCTCATCCGCATCCAGAAAGACCAGATCGTCTTCGGGCTATTGCTGCCAGCCTTGATACTGCAGGTTCATAAATTTTGTAATACAAATTGTTGAATGTTTTATTGTTGAAAATGTGGAATTTGCTCAAATCTTCACTGATTTGGAGTACTGAATTTTACAATTCATGTTAGTTCTCTCAATAAAGTTCCATTATTTTAGGTATATTTCCTGGAAGATGTTATCCAATTTTAGCTAGAGAGATTACACGAGAGGAACTTCTAATGGTAATACATTTAGACAAACTCCCTGTGTCATTTTTGCTATTACATGGGTTTTTCTTTGGGGAAATTCCTCATACATCCCCTGTGGTTAAGCTTTATAAGATACACCCCTTGTGGTTCAAAAATGTCAATTACAACCCTTGTGCTTTGAATTTAGGTGAAAACTTATAGAAATGGAGTTGACTAACGGAAATTTCACATACGCACTCCAATAGGCAACCGGTTACTTGATTCTGATTATGTGAGGACTTAATAATATTTTTTGCAACAAATACCTCCAAATCAACGTTTGCAATCTAAAAAAACTTTAAATTATCACTATTGGAAATGTTCACTTGGTGCATTTTCAAAAGAAAAATCTTACTGAGGTTTGATATTACTAGAAACAAGTAATCATTTGCAATATAGGATTGTGTATGGTTAAGTTTTAACTAGTAGAGTCCATTTCATTTTGTTTTCCACTTAAATCCAAAGCACAAGGGGTGTAAGTGGACATTTTTAAACCACAAGGAGTGTATCTTAAAAATCGCTTAACTACAGGGGGTGTATGTGGAATTTACCCCCCTTTTTTTCTTTTTTGGCCCATGGAAGAATCAAGCCAAATATTTGGAATTTGATGGTCATGGCCAATCCATGAACTTTGGTTAAAATCTTTGTGGAAGGTTACCTATGAACTGGCATTCTGATAACAGCAGTTGCCTGTGTCTGTAGTTGCATAATCTTGAACATTAAAAGCGAGGGAAATAATAACTTTTTTCATTTAATTTTTTAAAATTTTCTTTAACGGTATTATAGTTGCTAATTTTGTCCCTTTTGGAGATTTTAGATCCACTCTCCAGAGAACATTGAGGCTGTGGAGCTCACAAGCCGTATGCTTGCTAGGTTTGTTGATTTTTTTTTTTTAAGTTCTTCTCTTCTTTCCCAGATGTACTTCTCTCTTCTTTCTTGTATGCATTCAACCATGGGCTGGTTCACGTCTATATTAAGCCTAAGTGGGTTTATGAAGGTGTTGCATTTTTACTTTCTTTTACTGGGTTGGACCTTGCAGTTACTTCACTCCTGATACATATGCAAACGAACATTCAGCTCGTGCTGCCAGGCTAGCAGCAGGTTTATGTGCTGATCTGGCTTCTACTATATTCTCAGGGCGTGCAAAAAATGGTTTTGCTCTGGTAAGGACATCTAGCATTTATTGGGAATGTTTTATGAACTTAACAAATCTGACAGGAAAATATTATGAGCACACACTCTCTCTCTCTCTCTCTCAATCTCTCTCATGATAACAGGTTCGGCCTCCTGGTCATCATGCTGGTGTGAAACAGGCAATGGGGTTCTGCCTTCACAATAATGCAGCAATTGCTGCATCAGCAGCCCAAGCTGCAGGAGCTAAGAAGGTCTTAATTGTTGACTGGGTAAGGGCAGTTGTATTTGAATTCATACTGCACTGTTGAACTATTAATAAGCCTTGAATGGTCATTACTGCAGTTCTGTCATAAATTGGAAATACAATTGCTATGATTTACTGAACCCTCATTCTCTTTTGTATCACACAGGATGTACATCACGGAAATGGCACTCAAGAGATATTTGATCAGAGCAAATCGGTCAGTCCTCCTTGGATTACATGAGATTCTACACTTTTTTATGCTTCATGTTGAGGCCAGATAAAGTTTCAAAATTATTATTTATGGACTCCATCTGGCATCTTACTCCATTTTGTACTTGTTGCCTTATTTTATTGGGTTTTGATAATTGGTTTTCATGGGTTTGAGGCCTAAAAGGAAGCTTACTCGTTTCTTATTTGATGGATGTTTGAGGTCCTAAGGCTTTTACTCTCTATGTAGGTTTTGTATGTGTCCCTGCATAGACACGAGGGTGGAAAGTTCTATCCTGGCACTGGAGCTGCTGATGAGGTATTTGATTCCCTGTGTGTTTGGTTTTGTCTCTCATTCGCCATTTGCAGTAATTGTTGAATTGCCAGTAATTGTATGAAATAAATACCCTCTTTTGTAGGTTGGTACCATGGGTGCAGAAGGATATTGTGTCAATATTCCTTGGAGTCGCCGGGGAGTTGGCGATAAAGACTATATTTATGCATTTCAACATATTGTGATTCCTATAGGTTGATAACCTGATTCTTTGTCTCTCACCTTAAAATAGACCGTATATGGCATATAATGTAACTCTTAAGAAGTTTTTTTTGCATTTTTTATCAATTGGTTAGTGGACTAGGATTCTTGATCAAGATGATTAAAACTTGAAATTATACTGCCTAGCAGCTTTTCTGAGACAGTTGTCTCTATGTTCTTACCATTACAGCATAAATTAGGTGGATATTTGTTCCAGTAAGCTTCTCTTTAGATTTGATAAGGGTTCAAGGAACCATTTCACTTTAGTTAGCATCTGTTTATATGTTATTTTCATTAACCACACTCGTACAAAAGTAAAATGTCCAGAGAAGTTAATATATTGTACCATGTTTTGGGTGTCTAATGCCAATTAGGATTATGTTGAATTGTGAATCAAAGTTTTTCTGAACTTGTTTTTGCCTCCACTTCTTTCCTTGGCTTCTCTTTGGTTTGGCTCATTGTTGCCACATTATGCAATTGGGATGTAATTGTACGTTTTCCTCTTCTTATCAGTTTGCACACATTTATCTTGTTGTACATTTTATTCATTTTTTTTTGCCATTATTAACTTCCTTAAATCGTCTAATATTCCCTGAAATACACTTTATTGCAGCCTCTGAGTTTGCCCCAGATTTTACTATCATTTCTGCAGGATTTGATGCTGCAAGGGGTGATCCCCTTGGATGTTGTGATGTAAGAAATATTCTCTTGGTAAAATTATCTGTTTTGTTTTACCCTTCATAATCAATTATGTTTTTTGGCTACTGCAACAATAGATATTTGCTGATTGGTGGGCCACATTAAAATTTGCTATTAGTCATTCTCTACCAAATCTTATCTGTTCAGAATCATCAAAATAGCAGGATACTCCTATATGCTAAATTAGCACGCATTTAAGCTGGCCGTCAAGCTCTGAGAATATAAGAAACTGGCGGTGTTTAAAATAAGATGAAAAAGTGTCTCACAGTGATAGCGTTTCAATTGAGATCATCTTTCTGTGCATTAGCTTCAAGCTGATAGCTTTGATCTTTATATCATATTTTAGATATTGAAGTTTAGTTGAACTGGTTGCTTTTCTCTGTAGACAAATTTTGTTGAATAGGCAAGTTGTATAGGAGACCTTCACTCTTTGCTGAAACTACTCTACGTTGCCTCCCCTATTTTGGGACAGCTCAAACTTGTTAATCATTTTCCCATCTTCCCCTGTGTTTCATTTCTCCTAAAAATAGGTGGCTTCAGAATCATTCATCTTAATCAGGAATTTTGTTTGTTGTTTGACCTGCTAAAAGTTGCTGAAATTGGCATATGATGTTGCTGCAAAGTTTTTTCATTGAGACAAAAAGATGAAGGTTCTTTCTGTCTCTCACTTTCTTTATACTAAGCTCAATGGAGATTCCTGCTATGTTATGATACTTCCCTAAATCCTCCTTCCACATAAGTTTTATTTTACCATTTCTGGAAAAGGAAAGAATTCATAATTATGTATGTTTAATATTTTTATGCCAAATACTCTAATTGAGAGTGGTGGTGCAAAAGCTTGGTGCTTGATTGCCTTTTATTTTGCATATGCTACTATAAACATGCTGCAATTATAGTCGAGGAATCCAAGAAAGGATAGGATATTGCCTCTGTAAGCTAAGATTCATCATTTCACTGGATTGTATTGTTTCATCTTCTTAGGTGACTCCTGCTGGCTTTGCACAGATGACAGAAATGCTGACTGCTCTTTCTGGTGGAAAGTTACTTGTTATCCTCGAGGGCGGGTTGGTTTTTAGACGTTCATGGGTTCATGTCATTTTTTTCACGTATTTGAATGTCATGATTGATCTTGAACACTTGTAACTTTTACAGCTATAATCTTCGTTCAATATCATCCTCTGCTACTGCAGTTATTAAGGTAAATTATCTTATTGTTGGTACTGGTTCAACTCCGTTAATCGTTATGCTTTTAACTTTGCTGCTGGATATGATCCCACATTCTACTTTTGGTATCATCATCTACACTTTAACTGGGTGTTTGGAGTTGTCTTTGTAGATACATGTCAGGTTGGAGAAATTAACACCTAGGTACATCATGCTGGAATAGCATTGAATGTACAGTTTTCAGGCAAATAATTTATCATTATCATCTAGGTTATTAATGACACCAAGAAAAAGATGTAGTTCGTGCTTGTATTTGTTTAATTTTATATGCGAGCTCATTTGTCTGATAGTGGTGAACAAGATGGTTTGACCATTGAGCTTTCAGCTTCAGCTGTGGAAATATTCTTCCCAGATATTTTTCTTAAATTTCTAATACGTTACTTGCTTCCTGTTTTGAGTGTCTTTAGTTTCTTCAAACTTGGTTGCAGGTCTTGCTTGGTGAAAGTCCAGCGTGCAACTTGGATGATATTGTTCCTTCCAAGTCTGGGTTGCGAACCATTTTTGAAGTTTTAAAAATTCAGACAAAAATTGGCCTGCACTAGAGTCAACCTTTTCCAAATTGCAGTTACGATGGGAATTTATGCTTTTCAGGACACAGGTTAGTGTGTTTGTTGCCTGAGATCTTGGAACAGCCTTCCGGTTTTAGATCTGTTTTCATGTGTGGTTGTATTCTTGCACTTTTCTTTTGGGATACATTGGTTCTAATGTTAAGTAATTTAAAACCAATATAGAGAAGGTGGATAATTAGAGCATTCGGGCATGGAATAGGGAATTAGGATCTCAGTGGCTTGCAATGTGTCCTCTTCACAGGGTGAAGTCTTCTTTTTGATCAATATCAATGTATCTGTTGTCCCCCTGGTTCTCTTCTACATGTTATAGTGGTACTATTGGTCCTGCTACAAAGACACTTCTACCAAATGATCCAAGGTGCACGTGCATAAAAGCAGTAATAGAGAGATGACACGTCTAATTCTGCTAAACTATTTGTACCCAAAAAAAAAAAAATCGTTTAGTATATGATCAACAGTAAAAACTGAGAAAGGGAGAGAGATGCTGCTAATGAAAAAATACCTGTTCTTTTCTCCAGTGAAATAATTAAATGACAGAGATTGGTGCAAGGATATATTTTGAAACAAGGTCTAGTTGTGAATCAGATTCGTGTATCTAAGACAATGACTTGCTGGTATTCAATCTTGTGTTTTGAGTGGATGTTTGGTCCGTCATTTCAATGGCTTGTCCTTGGCATTTTTCACAGGGAAGCAGGTAAAAAGGAGACGAAAGGCAGTGGTGCCTGTTTGGTGGAGATGGGGGCGAAAGAGGTTATTCTATCGTGTGCTGTCCAAGCAGCTTCAATTTAAAGTGAAAAGGTGCCAAGTGTACATGTGTTTCTTAGTCTGACCTGTCTTTGTAACTTCTTCAGTACCTAAATTAGGGTTGTGCAGTTTTGTGGAAATGGATTCCTAGTAATGCGAATTATGTTGAGTTTTACCTCTCTCTCTATCTCGCTCCTACATACGTACTTGCTCTAATCTGTCTCACATATCAACCTTTATGACAATGCCATTTGGTAGCTTATTAGATCGCAGATTTCTATTCCTTTCTACTAATGCAGGCAAATTCAGACTGCTTATGTTCAAATAATTCATCTCAAATATTTTGATAGCAAAAGAAGTCAGTGTTGTAACAATGTAATTTATTGAAGTTTACTAGCTATCGAGCATGAAAGCTCAGTTGTCAAAGATCTTCGTGAATTGCAGAACTGGTATCGCTCATTATGCCACTAATTTTCTTTATCTTTCTTCTGTGGGACATTAGTATTTTGAGGCTTTTTTCCCCTCTAATTTACGAATTAGGTGTAAGAAAAAGCTGCATTAGATTTTTGGGTAGAAGGTTCTGGCTTCTTGTTGGAAGATGCGAATGGGCATAGGCCAGCATGGTGTCGATGTGCATTTTCTTGGGTTTGGGAAGTTTTATTTCAGGTCTTAGGATTTTGCTGCACCTGGATCCTCGAGTCAACTAACAAACTTCTCTAGTATGTCGAAGAGAAAAAATTTAAAAGCTGTTTGAGAGGAAAGGGGAGTGTGTCGGTGACCATTCTAAACATGATTAGAGCAAGTGCACATGCATTAGGGAAGTAGCAGACTCGGAAGAAAGTTCTGAGAGAGACAATTTGAAAGTTGAATTCAAGCTCTCTATATGGCGAAAATGATGCCTTAAGAGAGAGAGAGAGAGAGAGAGACCATTTCAAGTTTGACTTAAAGCCAGAGAGAGAGAGGGAGAGAGAATATCCCAGACCCACCCAGGGGCAAGCACTGGAGAAGTAAGAGAACGACACTGGTCTTTTTTTTACTTTCCTGCTTTTTTGGTCTCTGGTTTACAAGTTGCTTTTCTCTTTATCTTGAAGAATCAAACATTGCAACATGCTTAAGACGTGGAGTGCAGAATGATTAGATTTAATAGAATCTTTAATAAAGATGGCTAAGATAAAAAAAACGATCACCACATAAATGTTTTTGAGTCCAGTATGTCCAGACAAGGAATGCGGGCATTAGTTTGCCGAACACAATCTCCTTGTGCCAGTGTCGTACAAATTATGGCTCACAAGACCAAATATGCATTTCCACCGTCCATTAAAAAGTGATGCAGAAACAGTAGAATTACTCCTTTTGCTGAAGCCACAAACCAAATATGCGAGGAACTTTGCTATTGATGCATTGGCTGAGGCGGTGCCATTGGATATGCAACATAAGGGGGATGATGTCCATGAGGAAGCATTACTGCTGATGCAAAGTGACCAGGAGCAGCAGCAGCCAGATGACCTACTGGTGGTGCACCATGTACCCCTAATCCATGCATACTTTGTTGCCCCGCGCGTCGTTGCTGGTCCCAGAGCAAATCTCGCATTACAGTCGTGTCAGAGCGAATCTTGTGTTGTCTTTACGTAAATTCTTACTTCTGTTAGAAAATGTCAGAAAGATGAGTTGGGGTCCAAATGATGTTATGATTTTGACAACGTAAAGGAGTGGAATGGAAGAAGCTGTGTGTCATGTTTGACGAGAACAACCTCTGAAGTTTGTAGAATTAAATGTCATATTAGAGAGAGGGTGACCTTTAGAAACTGCGCACGATTGATGAGGTGGACAGTTTTGACTATCACTAGATTTTGCAAGGACATTTTTGACTATGACCGGATACACAAACCTTATAAGCGGGAGACTGCGAGACCCACCCTACATCTAATTTGAGAAGAAGAAATGGCATGAATATAAGTCTCTGTCCAGTCCATAAGCTATTAAGTATTTTGAACCTTGATTCGGCTACAAAGTTGGGCCAACTTGTGGACTCGAAGCAGTACACATTAACCTTAGAGTTCTTGCCATAAAAAGGACAGCGACCAAAACATCCATTTTCGATCCATACAAAAGGACTCAATATTACCTTGTTTTACATGGCCAAAGTAACAACCAGCATAATAACACTACCATATTTTACACCAAAATAATAGCCAAGAAAGATCTCTGTGTTTAGATTTCTATCAAAAGAAGAACCACATTTAAGTCATCAAAATGAAAGGCTTTCCACGTATCATCTTTCTACATCAAACAATTGACAACAAATTAAGCATTCCGGTTTGAATAATCAAAGGGGCTGGATTTGGATTTGTTATCTTGATCCAAATTTTTTTTTTTTGCAACAACAGTTGGAGCGTAACTTTTCCCTCAAGTTTTGATGTGCAACAGTTGTAGCAGCTGTTGCTTTAGCGGCAACGAGTGGTTTGGTTCGATGTTGGCTACAGGCTGCCAATTGAATACGAGTTAACATCAACTCATCTGAAGTAAAAATTATGGCAAATTTATACAACTAGATTCATGAATATTACTTGAGAAAGTACTAAATTCTTCAAGACAGAACGTTTCCTTACTTTAAACTTTTGATTTGGATGTACTAGCGTAATTAACAGTCTTTTGTTTAGTCACTGTTTGCTGCTGAGGTAGCGCTAAAGTTGCCCGCTGAGAAATCGTACGTGGCTGTAGATGTGCTGATTCTTGAACGTCTGGTTGTTTAGGTGCGTATGATAAGAGAAATAGAAGTTGTTCAATGCAGTAAATATCAATAATGAATTTAGTTGGTAAATAAATCAAATAAGAGTAAAATTTGGAGTTTGAATGAATTGGATGCTTGCGAGTTCTTGAATTATGATTTAGTTGAAAGTATGTCTTGCAATGTACAGCAAGCCCCGATGTCTGACTCTTTTTTTTATTTATTTTTTTTATATATTTAAGTTACAATCAACTTCTATAAATTTTCGATGTTTACAAGAACTACATCCAATTAGTTGCTTGTTTTGTATTTCTCAACAGAAACACACTCAATTAATGGAAAATTTTCACCATATGCACTCTAATAGTTTGATTCATGACATGTGTATACACTGACAGTGTATACACTATCACCGTTCGATTCATGACATGTGTGCAATAGTTGAATTTTAAATTTCAATTTTATATAGTTATCATTCATTCAATGCTAATAGTGTATACACTGTCAGTGTAAAAAAAATTAATTCTTTAAAAATACTCCCAAATGAATCTTCCGTATATATAAAAATGTTTAAAATAGATTCACTTGAAAAGCATATACAATATGACAATCACCTAAACAAATATAGAAACAAATTTGAATGCATAATTACTTAATGTTTAAAAGCAAATATCGAATAAACAAAGACCTAGTAGTAATTTTATTTATCATTTTTATTGCTATGTGTATGGTTAGGAAATGTCAATGGACCTCTCTTTTCGTTATTAGAAGAATTCCGGTGAACCTTTCGATTGTGGGAAATTAACAAAAGTACCCTTATTCTTAATTAAGTCATGACTTACTAATTTTTGTAAGATAGTAATCAAAATTAAAAAAAAAGTACGAGCATTTAGTCCTCTCAAATGAGTAAAAGTTTCAAGAATAGTATCGCTAAAAAAATAACAGAGTGCCACTAATTTTTTTTATTTTTATTTTGGTCTTATTATTTGTCATTCTGTTAATGAATGATTAATTATAAGCTCTGTATCTATGTAATTTGAATACTAGGCGAAGTGTGTTTTCCGTGTGGCTTATATATATATATATGTGTGTGTGTGTGTGGTGTGTGTGTGTGTGTGTGTGTATTCTGGTTATTATTACCTCAAAAATTAAGCGTGAAAAAGAATAAATTCAAGTACATTAAAAATGTTATACAATTAATAATAGTAAAAGATGGAAGTTACTGGTGGTGGTCACAGGAAAGAAAAGAGAACAAGAAAAAAAAAAACAAAATAGAACAAATCCCCATGCTCCTCTTCACTTCTTAATTTCCATCCCCTTATTATTAGGAAAAAAAAGGTAAAGAAAAGTAATAAAAAAATTAATTAATATGTAAGAGACACTTTTATTTATGCTAAAATATTGGACTGGACACTTCTACCTTAAAACATCAAACAGGGGTAAAGTGTCAACAAACAAAGTTTAGGCGTAAAAGTGCAAAAACCAAAAATGTGCCTATGGTACTACAGGGTTACAAGTATGTGGTTTGGTGCCCTAACTATGGGCCTGTTTGGAACCTGAGTTTTTTGGGAGTTTGTCTAAAATTTTATTGTAGTACACTGTAGAAGTTTTTGAAAAAATTTGTGTAGAAATTTTGTAAGGTGAAACTTTTTTTTGTAGAAATTTTTGTAATGTGAAAAATTTTGTAGAAGTTTTTAAGGGGAAAAACTTTTTTTTTCTTTTTTTTTTTCTTTCCTCTCTTCTTCTTCTTCTTCTTCTTCTTCTTCCTTCCCTCTCCCCCTTCCCCGTTACCAGCCCCCTCCCCGCAGCAACGCAACACCCCCTACCCCTCCCCCTCTCTCTGCCGTCACCCTCCCTCTCCCCTTCCCCTGCCATTCCTCTTCTCCCTTCCCCGCCACCCCTTTCCTCTACTCTCCCCGCCACCCGCCACCCCTTTTCCTCTCCCGTCTCCTCTGCCCATCACCCCTTCTCCGCCCTTCTTCTCCCTCTGCCCCGCCAACCCCTTCTGCCCGCCATCCCTTTTTCTCCTCCCTCACCCATTCCCGTCACCCTCAACAGCCCTGTCGCCCTCCCTTAGCTGCGATCTAGTTGCGCGACCAGATCGCAACCCCCCTCCCCTCCACTTTTGCGATCTAGTCACGGGACTAGATCTGGTCGCGGGAGGGGGAGGGTTGCGAGGGACACACAAAAAAAAAGAGGAAGGTAGTCAAATCGGGTAAAGGGGGAGAATGGCAGGGAGAGGGAAAAAGGGAAAAAAAAAAAGGAAATGGCGCCGGAGGTGGTGGACCGGGTTGGGATGGTGGAGGAAGAAGGAAGCCAAAGGGAAGGGAATTTTTTTATGTGTGTTTTGTGTATTGGGTTAGGATGGTGGAGGAATTTGTGTGTGTTTTGTGTATTTTGAAGTGTGTAGGTAAAAAACTTTGAAAAGTTTTTTGAGTCCCTGTAGCAAAAGTTGTTAAAAAACTTATAGGTAAAAAACTTGCCCAAAAAACTAGTTTCCAAATAGGCCTTATATATTGAAATTGTAGATCCCTAAGAGAAGAGCGAGTGGGCGAGAAAATCAGAGTAGATTATAGGGCAGGGTTTGGATTTTGGGACAACAACAATGACTATGGATCAAACAGAACTCAATTGGTTTTTCAGTGCTCTGCCCTATTTTTTTGTTTTCAGAAATTGTTAGTATGCGAAAGACTCGATT